GATTCCATCTTGCCTGTGACCAAGACAAAGAAACCTTTCTTTTGCAACTAGCTACAGGTTTCTGCTTAAATGAAAGGCCAGGTTATTTGACACTGGCACTGCAATGCAATGCAGATGACCTGGCAGAAGTCCTCTGCTGGCCAATAGCTCCCACCTAGCCAATGCATTCAGCAGCAAACTGTTTAGGTGCCTGAACCATCAGAATCTCATGGACTCCATCTCAGATCTGGGAATGACCTATTCCCAGCCACTGGACAGCCACTTGACCGAGGAAGAAGAGATGCCTCTGAAAACTCCATCCAAGTAAGGGAATTCTCCGAAAAAGGAAGTGAAGGAACTGCAAGAGGTCTTTCTCTTCCAGCACAGGTGCTAGGAACAAGTCTCTCAGGAGGTAAGTGAACCTCAGTCAGGCCCATAGAAAGATTGTGTGAGGTTTCTCTGGTATGGGTGCTCAGGTGTAATTTTTCCCCAAACAACGGGAAGTGGCTGACCTGACATAGGCAGGAGACAACTTTGCCATGGACATAGTGCATCTTCAAGAGGCATCTTAGTGTAGGGCTGTGCTCACTAAGCTGCATTTTCTTATTGTTATTCATTGCCACCAATCTGCTGCCCCACACCTCTGTCCATTGGCAAATACTCATCCATACTCCTGTATTGAAGTCAAGACATGATCAAACGCATGTAGTAAATGTCTTTCTTACTTTATGGCTCAAATCTTTGCACCAGTAGACACTGAGATGGTATCAGACAACCTTGAAGGGTACAGCTAAGCAACCAACTCATTAACCCATCAAATCTCCACCTGAGAATTAAAGCAGTATTTCCATCCATTGTGAATAATCATATATACAGCTTTTCATGCCTCTTTGAGGCTGAAAGTGGAAAAAGATAACAGAAAAGCACGAACAAGCAACGCACCCAGGCAGCAAAGATGTTTACAATAAAAATTCATGTTTTGCATTTTTGCTTGGTGCAACACAGTGCTGAAAGCACCACTAAATTTTAATCTAATTTAAGGAATATCATTCATTGGAATTCATTAGGCACCAGTAAGCATTTCATTGAACTGATGCAGGCAGTCCCTAAGCAGCCCTAAGCTCCCATTTCATACTTTTTCTTTTTATGTGTCCTTTAAAGCAATTTATGTGAAAGGAGAACATAGATATTGTATGACTCCCTGAGAGACATTTTAACACAATTTCCATCCCAAAGAGGTTTGTGAGAGTGCAGATGGAAAATGAAATGGTCTCGCAGGAACTTGTGGGTGACAATGTTTCAGCCAAACTGCTATATAAGATAAAGTGGCAGAGGATCAAAGCTTTTTATGCCACCCAGGATCAAATACTTGTTTAAACTGAAGAGCTACAAATGCCCCAAATGTGCTAAAATGGTATGGAAGGTTTTAAGAATCCCCTAATTAGGTTGATTCCTTAATGTCAACTTCATTCAACATATACTTCAAGATAACAGCAGCAGCAGCATCAACAACATAAAGGTTTTGCTGCAAAATATATGGCTACTTCTCTGGGGAGCAGGGAAATACGTATCTTTGGTGGATGCTATTAATTAGGTTCTAGATATTTTACCATAGGCCTTCTTGCAGATCACTTATTTAGACCCATTGCTTCAAGCTTCAGAAATATAATTTTAAAACTTTTCAGTTTAAAGGTTTTGGCTCCTGTCCAATTCCCAGAATTTAATGTACAATTATGCTACTTTTTAGTTAGGCTACAATCCTATGTATTTTTAGACAAGGAAAACAAAAGAGGAATTCTATAACTTCCAGCATTCCTCATCTGGGAGTTATATACAGGGGAATTGATTTTAGTTTATGATAACACTATTTTTGTTTAACCATTGTTCTTGGTTTTTATTTTTATCAATTTATCAAGTTTGTGAATCACTTTGATGGTCTTATCTGTAGTTAAAAATGGTATATCTATATCTACACACAAACACACACACACATATATATCAGCAAAACACAGCCCCTCACTTCTAAGAAAAATGTTTTACTAGCTCGTTTTTCACTCCTGAGCTCAGTTTTCACTCATTTCATACAATTCAAACACCTCTGAGCTTCTTATGACACAGCCATCGCAGAGCTCATAAATCTATTCTTCTTAGAGTTCAAATTAGAAAAACACAATCCACTCATACAATTAAGAACTGGGAATCTGAGGCTGCAATCACATATTCACTTACCTAGCAGTAATTCTCACTGATCACAATGAGTCGACATTTTTAGGATTGCGTGGTGACTTCAGCACAGCAACTAGATGTAACATCGATTAAAGTGGATTCTTCTCCAAATGTCTTAACAGCTTTTTGCAAGATAACAGGTGGTGTTTGCCAAAATGCATGCATCAGGACTTTGCACAGAGTTTCAGGCTTGTTCAGAATTTTACAGAATTATCTTTCAGGCTAATACAGAAGTTCAAAGCCTTTCTTTCTTCTGATTTTCAAAAGTATAGTTAGACTGCAATCCTATACATTCTTACTTGAGGGTAAGACTACTGAACACAATGGGATGTACTTCTGAAGACACATGCATAACACTATGCTGGTAATAGCTAATGATGCTACATTTGTTGCTACAGTGTCAGTGTAAAGAAAACATTATTTTGAATGTATTATCAGCATTCCCCTTCAATGTTAGTAAAGATAAACTAACATTGAATGAGGTTCTGTGATCTGACAAGCATAGCAACCCTCCAAATATGACATCAAGGTTCTTCTAAGTCTTTTAAATTGGACCAAGTATTGCTTTTGAGAACTTCTACATGTATACCCTGTAGAGGACCACTGAGCTGGGTCCTTCCATTGACCATATGCTGACATCTGAAGGAGCCAAAAGGAATATGTCCAACTCCATGTGCAGCTGGCTCTGGAAACAAGCATGCACATGAGGGATAAAAGCACATGGAGAAGAAGCTTGATCCTACTTTCCTCCACCAGGAGTTTTTCTTCTGTTTCTAACTGGTACATGGAGTAGGGCAGAAACATATTTTTAGTTTTGACATCCCAGAAGAATTAAACTGCTCCTTCCCATGTACTCTGGTCTTGATCTTGATACCCTGTGTGTGTTGCCAAGAGACAGTGGTTCTCAGAATTCAGAATACAGTGAACACCATACCAGGAAAGGGCTAAAGATTTTATAGCAAAGCACCGTAATGCGATGATTGGAGAGAGCAGCGAAAGAGCAAAATTCTATACTTATGACCCTATTGCTATTGAGAAGCCATTTGGAATCAGTGGAAAACATGATTCCGAATGGCCTGATTGCATGCAATTCCTTTCTTGATTGTCTTGTGTCAAAAATCTAAATTGGGAGGGTTCCTAAGACACATACACTGTCCCAGTAATGCATTCTGTTCTGGCAACAGAGCTACAAATCTGTTCTTGGGCTTTTTAATTAATGTTAGCATTCAAAGATCAGTCTATTTGTTGTCTAGTTGTTTTGGCATGTGCTGACCCCCAGAAGGAGTGGAAGAATATGACTGTTTCCATGTGTGCTCTGTGACTTGGACTTTGCATTTGCTTAGAAAATGTTGACACACTCTTGCAAAGTGAAAAGTTCTGCCTAACAAGTGGCAGAGAGTCAGATCCAGCTATTCTCATAACAAGTGCCTAACCTTGAGATCTTGCCAGAGGCCACCAGCTCCTTTGCTGTACAATCAGAAACTAGTAATTGAATCTGGGAAATAACAAGAAGAGCTTACTATGAAAAGCAACAGACCCAACTGGAAGTCTTGACATAAGGAGCAATTTTGCACCACTAACTCCTGAAATGTCAATGGTCTTTCACAGTTCTACAGCATCATACTTTTAATGTAAAAAAAGAAAACACTTCACATAATACTTCAAGTTCATCTATTCTGTAATGTGACCCCAAGAATTTAGAAAAGAGAACCAGAAAAAGCAGGTTCAATAAAACAGGCAGCCAAAAGCCTGTAAGGGGCAGGTAATCAAACCCTAGGAAATGCAACACTTCAGAAAGCGGTCAGAAGCCTTTGGGCTGAGCTAGCTTTAAGAATATAGATTCCAACTCAGTGATGACAAAATAAGGGATTAGCTGGTCAGTAAGCAAGGATCAAGAGGTCAATGCAGAATATTTTCCTGGGATGAGGTGAGGTTGCTTAAAGGAACTACATGTAAGAATCAGAGACACCAGAAAGGTACTTGGCTACAAGAACAAGCATTTGGGACAAGCACATAGTTTGCACTTCTAAAGTCAACATGACCAAAAGAATCCTGCCTCTTTTATGGTCTGAATAAGCAAACAAACCACATTCTGTCCTGCCAGCTGGGTGTAATAGAGTAATCCTTCACATGTCAAGAACTGCAAATGTCTGCATTAAAATTGGCAAATGCCTTTACTGTATGTTCAGAGCTACGGGACATGATCAAAGCACTGGATGTTGTGTGAAGTACAAAATCTGTTTCAGGAGCCCTTAGAAGTAGATCCATGGTGAACAGCACAATATCTTCACGTTGGATTAGCATGAGCAACACTGCCAGGTGATTTCAAAAAGGGGAGGGGAAAGTTCCCCTCCCTTGTTGAGGGATACTTATTTGGTGTACATTTTGGCTTAATGATTTTTAAATGTCTATTTCAATACATGTTCTTGTAGAATTACATGTAGAATTATGACAGTAATGATTCTTGTTGCTGACAGGATACAAGATGATTTCAAATTTATATTTCAGATTATATTCTTAATTTATTGGTTGAAATTCTACAGTAACATATGAATCCCTATGTATTACAAATGCATGTTCTTACAATTGCAACAATAAAGCGTTAAATAAAACTCCATTTCACCTTTATGGTTCCACACACTCACTGAGTAATGTAATAATGTGAACATTCCTTGCCATTTTTTTTATTTCCATGGAAACAAATGCAGACATATTTTATGTAAATTATATATCATTATTTCTAATACTTTATCTATTTTTAAAAATCTGTTTCTGACAACTGACAGTCATCTTACCTCATTTTGGAGATCTCTGATCATTTTGCTTTTCCTCTCCATTTCAGTCTTCAAAAAATTAATCTGGAAACACAGATTAACAATTTAATACATCTGCATAAATCTACCAACAGGCAAGATGGCTAGAACAAAATCATTCCCAAGAGAGAAGTATTTTTCACTTTTGATTGTATAGGTTTTTGCTTGGAATTATTCCTCAAAACAAACAAGATTCTCTTCTATCACCATTATATTTGTTACAAAAGGCAGATGATGGTGCTCTATGAGAACTGTGCTACTCTGGTGGAGTGGGGAGAGAAACAGAGGGGGAAAATGGGATGCCAGACCTATTTTGAAGCAAAATTTCTCTTTATATAAGGAAAACTAGGAGATCAAAGAGAAGGCTAATCTAGAACATTTTCCCCTGCTACCTGGAGTTTTTCCATTTACTCTCACCTCCTAGTCTACAGCATGGAAATAGGATGGCAAGTTATAAGTTTCTCTAGAAAATTGTACTCTTGCTTGTGTTCATGTTCAGGGTGAGCAACAGAGAAAATCTGAAGTAAAAAATGAACTCAAATGAAATTCTCATACATCCTTATTCCTGCTATTATATTTGTTGCTTTTTGCACCTTCTGGTATTCTAGACCTCCCTATAAAGAGAATGTGCACATTCTGAATGGAAAATTATTGGTGGTGAGAGATATGAGAAAAGAGCAGATGTAAATGATATCTCTATTTCTTCACCTTAGTTTGTTCATCTCCACAGAAAAGAAAAGAAAAGAAAAGAAAAGAAAAGAAAAATTATTGCTGTGTACACAGAGCTAATGAAGGTCAAGGCATTTAGCTAAGTTTATTTGCTCAGTAATAGGGTGGATTCCTATACTGAAATTTTTATTCACATGTATAGAAGAAACAGTATAATAAAAGTATTTGCTAATATTCCATACCCTATGCAGACATTTTTGTACCCTGTATGTATCAGGATGACACTGCCCATTCCCATCTGATATTTGCATGCAGTATTTCCAGATTGTAAACCAGTTATTGAAATGGAATATTTTATATGAATTTTGGCTTCACTGTAGGATTCCTTTAAGTATTCTCCTTAAGCAGTAGCAAATGTCCAACCTCTAAAAATACTCCTGAATTATCTGTACAGGATCTATGGCAGCAATTTATAATAGAATAGATTTCTCTCACACACATTTATCTCACTAGAAATGTATTATTGTACTGTCAACCAGCTTAATTCCAGGAATAACATTCCTGTTTATAGCCTTCTTAAGCTTCTAAGCAGAAAGCCTCTTGACGTTTGCACCTGGCTTCCAATAATTCTCAAGAACCTGATGAAATACAGGCCAAGTAAATTAATTTCATACGTTTTTCATAAGTAATTCTGATAGCTCTGAAGTAGGATCTAAACCATCTTACTGGATCTTCTCTACTAATTCTGCTTCCAATTGCACTAATTTTTCTCACCTTTTTGAGAAGAGCACTGACAATGATTCTGTCACATATTTATGTGTGGAAGACTGAAAAGGGGCATTCTAAGTCCTGGAAAGGTTGGCAGGAACAAAAAGTTCCTTTGACTGAATACCAGACAGCAAGGTAGGAGGTCACACTCCTTGTATCCAAGTCAGCCTGACTTTCAGACTGTGCAAAGCACCCCTAAGGCTTATGAAGCAAGGATCCAAGATGGCACCTTTGTTTCCAAGCCTTTGGCTGGAAAACATAAACAATAGCAATAATTAGGAAGAAAACTCAGGATATAGTACTGAGGTTTAACTACAAGGATGCATACACATTTAATCAAAATAGATGGTGGATTTATTTACAGAAGCGGAAGAAGATACCCTACCAAACAGAACAATCTTTAGAAAACATATTTACAGAGAAAAAGCAGTCAAACTGACTAAGCCTTCCTATCTTTACCAGTGGCATGGATCTTTGATAGAACTTCAGAAAGGCCACAATCCAAATTTGGTAATTGAATGATATATTTATTAAAGGGTTATTTATTTATTTAATGAAACCAAAGACCAAGAAAGGAAGGAAGGAAGGAAGGAAGGAAGGAAGGAAGGAAGGAAGGAAGAAAGAAAGACCCCAGCCCTTGACCATGAATTTTACACCCAAAGCCCCTTAGCAAGGCCATTGTGATTCTAATTAGCCAATCACAAGTAACCTAAAATGGTCTTCCCAGGTGTTTTGAGGTAGGCAGGTAAAAAGTTCCCATCCACACACCACTGAATCTGCTCAACTCAGAGAGAGTTGTATTCTGATCATGAAACCATGAATAACAGTGATTTGTTCAAGTCCTTTACTCCAAGTCTCAAGTCATGTCTGAAGTCTCCAGAGCCAACTTTAACAGAAAAAGGGGGAGATGGTGGTGGGGTGTGGAGGGAGTCGGTGGGAGAATGGAAAACCTTCCCCCACAATGCTCCCATCTGCACTTCTCTCAGTGATGCCTTGAAGTCCTTTACTTCAACCACAACTTGAAGCAAAAGCTCCCTCCCTCCCACAGTCTCTGCTGTTTTCATCCCTGCCTGTGCCTTCCTGGATATCCTGCTCTGTGGTAGACCCTCAGCTGTAAAAATGACAGACTGCAACTCAGTGGTAAAATCGGTGGTAAATCTCGAGTCAAATCACTGGCTTGTTGCTACCAAGTCAAGTCCAAGTTGAGTTTCTCACATGACTTAAGACAGACTTGGGAGTGAGTTGTCCCCAGCACTGATGTATAGTATCAGATGGCACTCACACAGTATATACCAGCCCAACCTCGCATTATGGAAATTTTACAGGCTGCTAAGACAGAATGTAAAACCTCCATACTGCGAGGCTGGGCTGGTATATACTCGGAAGTTTTACAGGCTGCTAAGACAGAATGTATGCCAGCAAACTTGGAAAACTCAATAGTGGCCACAGGATTGGAAAAGGTCAGTTTACATTCCCATCCCAAAGAAGGGAAATGCCAAAGAATGTTCAAACTACTGCACCATTCACTCATTTCACGTGCTAGCAAAGTTATGCTCAAAATCCTACAAGCTAGGCTCCAGCAGTATGTGGACCGAGAACTACCAGAAGTACAGGCAGGATTTCGAAGAGGGAGAGGAACTAGAGATCAAATTGCCAACATACGCTGGATCATGGAGAAAGCTAGGGAGTTCCAGAAAAACATCTACTTCTTAATTGACTATGCTAAAGCCTTTGATTGTGTGGATCACAACCAATTGTGGCAAGTTCTTAAAGAGATGGGAGTACCAGACCATCTTATTTGTCTCTTGAGAAACATATATGCGGGTCAAGAAGCAACAGTAAGAACTGGACACGGAACCACTGATTGGTTCAAAATTGAGAAAGGAGTTCAGCAAGGCTGTATACTGTCACCCTGCCTATTTAACTTATATGCAGAGCACATCATGAGAAAGGTGGGAATAGATGAATCACCAGTTGGAATTAAGATTGCCAGGAGAAATGTCAACAACCTCAGATATGCAGATGATACCACTCTCATGGCAGAAAGTGAAGAGGAACTGAAGAGCCTCTTGATGCAGGTGAAGGAGGAGAGTGAAGGAGGAAAGTTGGCTTGAAACTCAACATTAAGAAAACTAAGATCATGGCATCCAGTCCTCTCACTTTCTGGCAAATAGATGGGGAAGAAATGGAGGCAGTGACAGGTTTTATTTTCCTGGGCTCCAAGATCACCACAGGTGGGGACTTCAGCTAAGAAATTAAAAGACGCTTGCTCCAGGGGAGGAAAGCTATGACAAATCTAGACAGCATACTAAAAAGCAGAGACATCACCCTGCCAACAAAAGTGTGTATAGTCAAGGCTATGGTTTTCCCAGTTGCAATGTACGGCTGTGAAAGTTGGACCATAAGGAAGGCTAAGCGCCAAAGGATTGAGGCCTTTGAATTGTGGTGCTGGAAGAAACTCCTGCAACTCCCTTGGACTGCAAGGCGATCAAACTGGTCAGTCCTAGAGGAGCTCAACCCTGACTGCTCTTTAGAAGGCCAGATACTGAAGATGAAACTCAAATACTTTGGCCTCCTAATGAGAAGGAAGGACTCCCTGGAGAAGAGCCTAATGCTGGGGAAAATAGATGGCAAAAGAAGAAGGGGATGGCAGAGGATGAGGTGGCTAGATGGAGTCACTGAAGCAGTTTGTGTGAGCTTAAGTGGACTCCAGGGGATGGTGGAGGACAGTAAGGCCTGGAGGAACGTTGTCCATGAGGTCGCGATAGGTCGGACACGACTTTGCAACTAACAACAAGAAGACGACAGAATGAACAAAGGAAGTTTCTCACCATGATTTTTTTTCCTGTATCTTCTGGGAAACATTTCAAGTCCTTTGGGTAAGCTCCTCCCACTGGATAACAGGCATGGTTCATTAAAAACATCCTCTCCAGGAAGAGGAGTGACCCAAGCTTCCTAGATTTCTTCCTAGGAGTAATCCAACCTTCCTATCCACTTCATCTTCAAAAGAAACCATGACACCTAGAACTATGCCCCCAAAATGAAGAGATCACCAACCCAATCCAAACTAGCAGAACACAGAAGTGCAATGGCTTACAATATTTCTGCAGTACCTGTACAAGGCAGCATCCTCTGGAGAGAAGACATTAGTCTTTGGTGAAGATATGCAGATAAGCTTAATAGCGACTCTGCATATTTTGTCTTTGAATGGCAGTCTTGTGCCCTGCTCACTAAGGGAATGTACAATAATGGGGGACATTCCCAGTGAAATGTGTCTGAAATCTCTAGCATCAACACCCAATGACAGCAAATGTGGATGTGTTGATGGGAGCCAATCCACTTGGGTATTTTCTGGCATTGCAAAAAGACCTGTTTTCAGCTGCCTGAAATGTGATGTCAGCTGCTAAAACATCCAAGAACGAAGCCTCCACTCTGTGTCCAGTAATGTTTGAATGCTGAACCAGGTGGCGATGCTGTTGTCCACTCTGGATAGATGAACAGCTGCATAGAAAGGAGGTTCCAGTACAGGATCTCTACTGCTTCTTCCTTTAAGATTCCTGATTTTGCATGCTCTCATTTGCTTACATATGCCTTGTCTGATACACTGT